CCTGTCTGGCGACTCTAACGAGCGGCAAAAAAAAAGCGAAAAAATCGGTCGACAAAAAAATCGGCATGGAAACCTGCTGGCGACTAGTATGGTTTTTTTAAATGGTGCGAAGCGACAATGTGTAACGCTTAACGCGTCGGGAAAAAAGAGAGGTGAGCTGCGGGAGCGCGCCGGCACGGTGCGTGCGTGGAAGGGGTCGGGTACTGAATAATAATCAGTACCCTGGTACTAACTAGCGCAGTCCTATATATATATATATTAACTCCATATAGCTCCTAGAATTAGCGCAGGGAGAGCGATTTGAGTACTGTTTAGTTACTGTTCACAAATCGCCCGCAGTCACGTGGACTCGTGCGTGTGTAGGCATCGGTTTCGCCTCTCCGGATTAATTGAGCCTCTCTTCCTTCACCGCTTTCGCCCTCGCTCTCTCCGTCAAAGTAATATAAAAAAAAAAATCCTCAGCCAGCAGCGTGCCTCGTCGCCTCCGTCCATGTTTCTTCCTCTTCCTCTCCCTCTCCCGTAGATGCGACGCTTCCTCTCCCCCAGCGGCAGCGGATGCCGATGCGGCGTCCTTGCTTGACGGATCCTGCGCGCATGGACCGCTTCATTCATCGCCTCTTCCTCTCCACCGGCGGCGGCGGCGGCCAGCCTTGCCTAGGGTTGCGCGCCGCACCAGGACGGAGAGGCGGCGGCGGACACTGATACGGCGTCCTTGCTTGATGGAGCCTGCGGGCATGGACCGCTTCATTCATCGCTTCTTCCTCTCCACCGGCAGGAGCGGCGGCCAGCCTTGCCTAGGGTTGCGCGCCGCACCAGACGGAGAGGCGGCGACAGCGACGGCGCTTGGGCCGTCGGCATCCATGAGGCAGGAGCGACGATAAGAGGCCGTCCTCATCCTCATCTCCGCCAGCAAGCATGGGCTCCCAAGTGTACCTCGCCGCCGTCCTAACACTGAGGTTCACGCCCCCTCCTCTTTCATCTCGATCTGTTTTCCGATCTTCATTTGCTTGCTATTTGGGTAGATCTTACCTACCTGTGTTTGTGTGATTTCCAAGTCCGAGAAGTGCTCTAGGCTGAACATCCCCGTCTCTCTATGTGCCACACCCCTTCATCGCTCCTCTCTCTCAGATTTACCTAGACTGGTTAGTTCTTCATACTAGGGTTCGAGCAGATCATGGTGCGAGCGGAGGATGCACATATAGCCAGTTGTTGTTTATGCAGTTGTAAGTTCAGATGCAAGCCCGATATGGTCAGGAAAAAACCTGAGCAACTATGTAAATATGCTACATGATGATTTCATTTTTTTTTCCCTGATTCGATGTCCTCTCTTCCAGGCAGCCAGGTCCGTTGGTGGAGCAGCGGTGGCAGTGTCCAAACCAATTCATTTTATTTTTCGGAAAACATTGATCTATGATAGTTAGTTTGCTGCATACCAATTTGACTGGGATTATCTCATACTATGGTTCCGTACTTATTTATGTGTCAATGTATGTACGTGCCATCTTTATATGTACACAAATGCAGCTTATAGCATTTCCCTATTGTTGATTTATGCTAAAAATCACTTTATTTTTACAGTTATATGCCAATGGAGATTTGCAAGATCTTGATTCACAATGGAACCTCATGCTGGGTATGGTCTCCAGTTTTCTTCTTTCAATAATGAGAATGTGAGATTAATAGTGTTTTTAGAATTTCAGGTACTCATCCTGTCATTTCTGTTTGTATTAATTTTTTTATGGTTAGATTAGATGCCAATAGTTTATAGATTCACCAGTAATTTTGTACCAGTACATTCAGAAGTTGCACTTCATTCCCTTAATGCAGAGAGCATTTGGTTTGTTACAGTTTGCCTACTTCTAGATTTGGAGCTGCAAACCTCATTTTATTTTACTTTGTTTCCATGAACCAAACTGTTTTTGTTGTGCTGCCTATTCCCTCCAAATTTGAAGGTCAGTTCTGCCTGTATAAATCTCTATTCTCATTTTGGGCCTTTGTCTACATAATGCATTTTAGTCGCTGGGCATTTGCCCCTAATTAATGAATGCTTATGTTACTTACGACAACCTATTTAGCAATAGACAATACCTATGTTGTAGACCTGTACTTTTTTTATCAAACAACCAACATTGCTGACTTTGTTCTTTTCTTATGTTTGCTGTGGGACATACAGTAGCATGGAGTGTTTTAGTGTGACCTCTGCTTCTAATCGCCTGTATAAATATATGTTTTTCTATTCACTGCAGAGGTCATTCCTTCTATTTAATTTAGTATCCTTATCATGATATGCTGAGATTATGGTGTTAGCCTTCCGCAGTGTAGGGGTACCTTTTCTTAGGAAACAGATTCTATATTTTTACATAATAAGTTCTTATAGGACCCTTTTCCGTTTACTATCAGTCTTTTCCTTTGTTCGAAAAATAGATATCCGTACTAGCTACATGTACACCTCAAGACACAAATGCATCCTAAAGTTTCCTAATCTTTGCTATAGCACCCTCTTATCCTTTGATTTGATGGCAATGACGATGTTCTTTTCACGGTTTGCAAAAATCGTTACCTGTTTACAATGTGTATAAGATAAGTTGCATCCAAATTGGAGGAAGTGGGGAAGTTGATAGGAAAGTGCAGTTCCTGTTTAGTTTTGTTATGGTCCATTCACTCAACATATATATATTTGTTCCTTCAAATCAAATAAGTGTAGGAACATGCATCATATTTGGTCTTGCCTAATTACTGAAGTAAACTTATCACCCATTGACCCATTGTTGGTGTAGTCTAGATTCCAATATGGGGGCTCTACTATACAAAAGATGGTTCTTATAGATGGTTCATTTACATTATATGCCTCCAAATGACAGACTCAACTCAAGAGATCTTATAGCAATCGTATTTTCTGTTCATGTACGGTGGGTCCAGCCCCTGTGAGCCACGTGGTTTGGCCTGCCAAGCTATATTAAGTTTTTTTTTTCTTGAATTAATATTACTACTCCTTTGTCATCAAACAAATGACATTTTCTGATTTATTCATGCAGGTATAACACGCTGCACATAGCGCCTAGCATTGCTACAGGATCAAATAATGCTACCGATCACTCCTCATAAGCTTCACAGATGATTTGAGACCATCCATTTCTTGCTTTTTCACAGATGACTTCAGGCCATCCATTTCTTGCGTTGGTTTGACTCAATTAGTAGGCACTATATGTTAGTTATATAATGCATTAACTGCTATGTATATATTAGTTATATCATGCATCTGTATTTCCCAGTTAGTATGCCTGATACTCCTTGTGGAATAGATTAGCATAGCTGTATTTTCCTCTTGCAGTTTTCCTCACAATCTTAAAAGTTGTACGTACAAGGCAATAGTGAAATAAACTATGCCAAGGTCTATGTGCCGCTGAAGCTCTTATACTCAACACCAAATAGCATGGAACAAATGGATTATCACCGTGACTATGTATAGTATACAGGCGCGGCGGAGCGCGCCTACCTGCCTAGTAATGTAGATAAGGCATTGGAGTTGAGTCGGGTTCAGACTGTGCCGGCCTCCTCTACCGTTTCATGCTCCAACTCTGTTAATCTAAGCTGATTAAAGTTGAGCCCAACAAAGAGCAAAAACGTGAAAGCCTAGCTATAACTGCTGCATCCAGCCCAAAAATGGCCTGATCATTGGTCAATGTTGGGTGAAGACGCAAAAATTTGGTGACCACTCCCAAATATTTCTTCTACCACTAACGATCGTATATATTAAAACTAAAATAATCTACATCTATCCCTATTCCTTCTCTAATACTAAATCAAGAAGAGTTTTTTTCGTTTGGCCCTTTTTTTTTCCTCTGTTTTTCTCGACATCATTCCGTTGCTTTTTTTGTGTTTTTCGCTTCAACTGTCCTCTCGTCAACTCAGTATACACTATACAGTCTATCCGCATCCGTGTTACCCATGAACTTGGCGATTTGTTTGGTACAGGTACAGTCCGGTTCCGGATTTATTTTTTTCTATAAGTACATCTCACTATGACTTTTGTTTTTTCTCACAAACGTTAAAAACAAATAATAAATACAATGTTATGGGTCTTTGAACAGTTAAAAAAACAAAGATTCTCATTGATTTAAGTTATGATTAGAAACAAAACTTATCTAAATTATAAAATTTAGATTAACCGATGATCCAACTAATCAAACAGTTAAATGTACGAACATTCGTAGTTTTTCTCCTGTCATAACGCACAACCATATATAATATCAAACAGAAATTTCTTCCTTCATATTTTGGTCCATCACGCGTGTTCATGTGTCCCTCCACTTTCCGTAGCATAAGAGTTCTAACCGGATTTATTAAGTGTAGTAGTATGTGATGAATTAGAAATTAGAGACCTAATTAGATTAGTGTCCCGTGACATAAACTCATCAGTTGTACTCGTGCGAATTACATAGCGCATGTCCCAACCACGATACAAGTTTGATTTCAAAACATATTAGAACAGATGACGTAGGATATAAATCCCATTACAGCGCACAGGCATATTTCTAGTTTAATATTAAAGGGTCAAAATTCCATCCTATTTTTTGGTCTACCTCGTATTAACTATCATGATATATTGGAGAGTTTTTTCTACCCGTTGAGTTAGAACAACTCACGTATCACGATGATAGATAGGTCCAACCCCGATACGTACATCCTCCGTATATGTGACCCGGACCTATGATCCACGCTTATACAATTTGGAACAATCCACGTCCACGTAAAGAGTCTAATTTCTATACTAACGTTTGCTAGCAGGGAAAATTTGAAAAAATCACAAAAATGACACTCGAAAGATTGACTCCTTGATTATGATGACACTCAGGTGGATGACAAGTGGATCTATGAATGTGGGTCCAATGCCAAATTTACAAACGACCGATGTTTCGAGTCCCATTTTTGCAACGGAAAATTCATATTATCCCTAACCCGTTCAAGTCCGTCGGAACCACCGTACCCTCACCGCCGCCATGCCGATCTCCCCCACGGAGAAAGAGATGCCCAGGCACCGGTGGTACAAGCGATCGTCCGGTGCTTCTCGGTCCGTGCGGTCACCGGCCAGGGCCGAATCCTGGCATCTCAAAGCACCGCTGGTCATGCGGATCTCGTCTACGGAGACAGAGATTCCCGGTCACGGGCGGTTGAAGCGATCCTCGTCGTCCAAGGATGCCAGGGCCGTCTCCTCACACTGTAAAGCATCGCGTGCCATGCGGATCTCATCGACGGAGATAGAGGTTTCCGGCCAGGGGCGGTTGAAGCTGCCGTCGTCGTCCGAAGCCGCCAGCGCCTCCTATCCAACCTGGGTGATTCTGAACAGGGTAGGCGCCCGGAAAGACTCCTTCGACGGCGACGGCACCACGTCATCTGTCTCCTAGATCTCCGGCGGCGAGCAGGTCTCCGTCTCATTCGTGCTCGAGAAGCCGCCGCGGACTTCCCTCGTCACCCTCGACTGGCCACAAGGGCCCCGCCCGTCGGAGGGGAGCACATCAAAGCCGCGCGTCTTTGCCGCGCACCGCAACGTCGTGCTGCTCGAGATCATCTCCCGCGCCAAGTACCATGCTTCCATCGACTTCTTCGTTTACAAGGCCAGCGGCAGCCGGGGGCCTTCCTTGACGCGTTTGCCTCTTTGCTACTGGAAGGGGCCTTCGAATGCAGACAGCCCTCGGCCGCGCATCACGGGCAAGTACTCCACGGGTCTTCTGTCCTGCAGCGATGATTTCTTCGTTGTAGCTGATCTCGCTAGAAGGTCACCTCGACCTTCCCGAGTTGACATGTACCTCATGTGCTCTGGGTTCAACGACTCGCAAGTCTTGAGGAATGTGCCTATCCATGATGCTGATGGCGTCTCACATTTGTCCTGGTGGTCAACTGATGTGGTGTTTACCCTGCCGCCATCACTTGATCTGGGTGCACTATTTCAGAGGGATGATTGTTGCCCACATCACACATCCAGTAAACGGCGCCATTGACCTGCAGGAGCCTGTTCTAAGATATGTGCCCGCTTCTGGTGGATCCAGTTCAAGATAATCCTTATGACAATGACTATGGGCGAGGATGCCCTGGAGCTTCCCGTAGTGTTTGTAACACCCACCATGGCATCAAGTTCGTCAGTGTTAACAAACATGGAAGCAGTTTCAGCATCAAACTGTGGTCCTTGTGCGAGAATGAAAAATGGAGAGAAGATGCAACAATGGATGCTGCCCAACTTTGGGACCTCGATTCTGAAAACTGCCTTCCAAAAGTACAACCAACATTTCCTGTTGTCGACATGGAAAACCCTGACGCCATTTGCTTCTTGTTGAACTAGCATTTGCCCGAGCGTTGCTACGGGAGTTTCAAAATTCTAAGTTGCCATTATATCATCAATGCTCAAATTCACCCATACATCTCAGTTGATCATTCATAGAACAAACAGAAAATGTTAAACTGAGCATGAAGCAAATTTGAAAGACTACTTAAATATAGAACCTCCAACAAATCAAAAGAATTAATTATATGCTAGAATACCATTGTTTCACACCAAAGGTTAAAATACTACACAAATAAGTTACAGGAAAATACTCAAGTACAACACCCTTCATCTGCTCGGAGTTCAGGTTATCACTCATGTTTGTGGCTGCCGAGTCCAGGCTTTAAAGTGGCACAAGAATTCCTGTTGAAAAAAAAGGAGATTGAATCAATGTAATTGGACGAAGACATATCTCCTATATCAGTTGTAGCCATGATTAAATCAATGATCAACGCATTTTTACCTTTTTAGTACTAATGCAATACCAACATGAGTGGGTGAGGGAGGGGTTGGGTTCTTTCAGATGCAAACTAATACTTGGTGGTAGTAAAGGGATGGCTGGTAGGAAAGGAAGTAAGAGCTCACTCATTCTGGTGCCTCACAGGCAGGCACCTGCATTTTTAGGAGACGTGGACACCTAGGTGACATACATTAGCTTGTCTTAAATGTCATATAATTACAAACAGAGGGACTTGGACACCTGAAGAACCCAATAGTTATTGATATTGCTTATGTTCAAACAATTACCAGATATAAATACCATTCAAAATTTATTTGCAATAGGCATACCGTGTCTAGCCATCTGTGTATTTAACTTACGAAAGTTTAATCGAAGATCCTTGAAATTTGTTGCTTCATACACGATAAAGTTTCTGCACAAAAAATGGTTATACTTGGTATAAGCCTGGATCAGGAGACAGAGAATCTATACGCCTCCAGGTTATTGTCAGTTATGAGCTTAGCATCATCCTGAAACATAAGATGGTTTAGGTCAAAGCCAGAAACAAATCAAGAATACTCCTCTCCGTATGCTGAAACATTCAGCATGCTGATCTCAGTAGTAACAGTACTTCAACACAACAAATTATATGTTAAGACTAAGGACAGCAATTTTCATATTTAGATTCCAGAGTTTTTCAATAAAAAATATTTAGAGATCAGACAAAAGGTTATTAGTTGACAGGCACAGTAAGAAACAAGCAGCTCGATACCAGCAGAAAAATTGCCCTCACAGCTACATTTTTTCACCTTGTACTTGTACCCGTCGGCAGCTATGTCACCATTGCTTTTGTCCAGCATTCTCCCTGTCATCAAGGATGGAAAAAGTGGCAGTAATACTCCAGACAAGCACTCAGGCTGCACGGTACTAAATCAATGCATTATTAAGCATCAATCAGCCAGGTCGACCACCTTCACCTGCAGCGGGATGAGCGCAGGCCTCCTGGCCTTGCCGAACTGCAGGATCACCGGGTCATGGCTGGACGACGACGATGGACCCGAGGCCTGCGTCTGCGTCTGCGCAGGAGGTGTTGGGGCCTGCGGAGGAGCAGAAGAAGCCTGGCGCCTTGTTGCGCAGAACCAGAGGCCTCTCCTCCTCCTAGTCGCCGTCGCCTCCTTGCAGAGCCCCTCCACCAAGCTCGGAGAACCGGCAGCTGCTCAGGTCCATGGAGCTGTCCCCTCGTGGCCCGAAGCGCCTGCCGACACGGCACCGTGCGACTGCTCCAGCGCGGCCTCGCGTGCTTGCTCGGGCCCGTTCCTGGCGCGGCCCCGCGAACAAGCTCCGTGCGCGCCGCCCGCACTGGCCCCTGCAGCGCTCGAGCAGCCCAATCGGCCGCCAGGCGCAGGCATGGGCGGTGGCGGCTCGGCCGGGCGCAGCCGGTGGGGACCGGCCGAAGGGCGCGCGGGCCAGGGCAGCGGCGGCGGGCGGAGGCAGGGAAGGAGGGGCGAGAGGTGGAGCCGGCCGGCGGCAGCGAGGGGCAAGAGGCGCGGGGCAAGGGCGACGACCGACGGGGGAGAGCAGGGAGTGGTGGGACCGTGGGAGCAGTCTGCGCGCTTGGGGAGTCGGGGGAGTGGGCGTGGGATCGGGGAGGTGGGGGAGTCGGGCTTCACCACGGATGGGGTGAACCCCAGTTTACTCTTTTTAGGGGTAGAGACGAGGGCCGACTGAACCCTGTACCCCAACATGGATGATCAAGATTCACGTGAAGAAGAAGATTCTACTAGAGGCCTTATTTAGATCCCATCAAAATTCTAAGTTTTTTCACTTTTTTTTTATCACATCAATTTTTAGACACATGTATAGAGCATTAAATGTAGGTAAAAAAAAATAATTAATTGTACAGTTTGGTTGTAAATCACGAGACGGATCTTTTGAGCCTAGTTAGTCCATGATCGGATAAAGTTTGTCAAATACAAACGAAACGTGCTACAGTGTCCGGATTGTAAAAATTTACAATTAAAAAAGGCCTAAATATTCCAAGAAAGGAATACCGTCTTATCAGAAAACATATACATCTGTTAGGAGTATGTCTGAGGGCTCTCCTTCATCTCCAGTGAAATGCTATGTTACCTGTCCGGACGAACCATGAAAAGGTAATCACAGTGCGACTGCAATGAGAGGAAAAAACAATCAAATAGAAAAAAGTTATTAATCATTCATGATAAACAAGAATGAAAAATGGTACATTATTAAAGTTTTACACTGTCTATAAAATTTATAAGATCTATAATTTAATCTATGGTGACCATGACCTCCGTAATTATAAGTAATGTTGGCAGTAATATGATAATAATGTCATATTAAGCTTGCATCAAATTAAAATACAACATAGATAGATTTTTTTCTCTCACATTGCAATGCATAAAAATATTTACTTATAAATATCTCATAACTTAAAATTTTATATACAATCCATTTGTTGGTACAGTTAAGTGTTGAGTTTGGTGACTTCCTTTGAGCACTCATAAAAATATGAAATTCTAATATCTGACTAAAGTCGCCGAGAAGATAGTTATTGACATGTCAAGGAAGTCAACGATAAGTTTATCCATTGATGATTATGACGGAAGATCTCTTGATTTTCTACATGAGAACCATCACCGGAGATTGCACTGATACATGTATATAGCTTGGAGACACATTTATTTAGATTGTATTTAGTTGAGCTTCTGAAAAGTGCTTCTGCCGCCAAAAAGCAGAAAGCCAACCAAACGGTGGAAAAACTGCTGCTTTCGTGTAATATAGTTTTGGAAGCACATTGAACCTTGCTTTTGGCTTTCTGCCGGTTCATGCGCCAACCCTACAGTGATAGCCATGGATACTAGTGTCGGTTGATGCATTCATTCGACAATGATAGACTATTATCAATGTCGGGTCGCCCAACCGAGTCACCCCATCACTGTTGATTATCCTCTGCCGGCGTGAATTCTAGTAGTATAGGGAATTTCGACCCGACAATGATCCATTGTTCTGGCATAGTGTTACATCATTCGCTCATTAGGGGTAGTAGATAGGCACTAAGGCTTTGTTTGGATTTTAAAATTGAGTTGGCTAAATTAACTTTAGATAACTTTAGCTTGCTCTAGATAGATGGTCTAATGTATCATCTAAAGTTAATTTAGCCAACTTAAAAAAAATCATTAGTTCATTGGACCATACAAATGAGTTAAAATGATCTAAAGGTTAGTGACTAAATTTTAGACCGTAGCATTCGAACAGGCAGAGGCCTAAGACCGATTGGACTGACGGCAAAAGCATTTCCACTCATACCGCGCGTTGGACACACCAGTACCGGCGGTAGCCACAGAAGCACTGAAGCAGCCCACTGAGCCTCCAGCTCGGGCCGCTCCTACTGGCTCGGCGATCAATTCATCCGATGCGCGCGGGGGAGCAGGCGAATCCAGCGTTTCCGTGCGCGCAAGGGCACAGGGACTCACCAAGGGAGCAGCACGAAACGACCAGTGCCTGTGATGGTGGTGCGCATCGTCGTCATTAGCGTACAGTCCGAAGGATATGTATGGCATGGCGCCGTGTGGCGCGTGCTGATCACCGACACCGGCACCCGCGGCGCACCGAGCTAGCTAGTGATCAGCTTGCCACCACGTACGTTCGCCGCGGACTGCCCATCGTCGTGCGTTTACACTGCGCTTGCACAGTTGCACAGCAGCAAGCCAGCAATGGGTAGCGTATACTAGCTAGCGTGGCTTGTTGCATCACGATCTCAAACGTCAGGCCTGAAAACAACTAAACACTCCTGCAGACTGATGACAAAAGTACTTATATGATGGGAAGAAACGTGAAACTTACCACGCACTTGTATATGTATATACGATCGTATCTATATGTTCACAGGCGTTGAGATTTGTGCTAGGAGAAACCCTCTCTTACTGAGCACCAAATAAGGTGCCTAGATAACGTTTGGTTTGAGGTGGATCAGGGACGAAGTACGATATCCACTTTGTTTTGTTTTAAATTCTAGGACAGAGGCGACAAAGTCATCCCAGAGAGGAATATTTCCTCTAAATCTGGTTTTATGTTATTCCAAAAAAAATAAAGGAGGAATGTTTCTTGGTTCATCATCGCTCAAAACTATTTGGTGGAGATCTGATGGACTAAATATCTCTCATGTCCGTATGAGTTGAGCATGTTTAAGCATAGCGTGGAGTCCGATTCAACAAATTGGAATGTGGAGCGTTTTCATGGTTCGTACGAGTTAGAGAAGAGTGTTGAGGCATGGTGCATAGTTTGATTCTAAAACAAATTTGAACGCATTATGCGATCAATGGATAAATCTCTAAGCCTCCCATACCTATATATATGAGTTATATCAACACACGTCAAGCATAATATGAAGTTTGATCGCAAGACGAACTGAAATGTATAACATGGTCGTTAAATAAATCTTCAAGTCATAAGTTCCGTTGCCAGGCATACACGTATGTGCATGTTTTGCTAGTGGGACCTAAGCAGTTGTTATTTGAGGTTCTCGCCGATGATATAACATCCCCCTCCCCCTAATCACAGCGCACTCAACACCGGACCACTCATCGACGGATCCTCACTGCAGCACATTAACTCTATTCGAGGCACTATAAGCATGCAGTTAGATTTCATCATGCGTGCAAGGACATGAACTGTGACACCAAGCTAAGTCGTCTATCGGTGCTACATCAAAAGCAATTGCACTTGCACCATCTAGTGCTGACATGCATCCTCGGGCACACGAACGCGCATCGCACTGTCCTGATCATTATCATGTGACACTAGTATTTATGTTAATGTGCTTAGGTTAGGATCCATACCTACTATCTATGGACCTTTCTCTTAGTGCGAGTCCTTCCTAAGGACTCAATAGATTGCTTTTGAAGAAGAACTTATTAGGAGTCAAGGTGGTGAGGGGACGGGTTTTAGAGTTTACATAGGCTAAGATTGTTGATTTAAAGTTTTAGGACCCAATTCTCTCTCTCTCTCTCTCTCTCTCTGGTCATTGGGTCCTTAAGTGTGAGAGATGAGATGTAGGAGTGTTTCAACTGGAGAGATGCCCATGCCAGAGGCCCATTAACATTTCGCAGATGTTTTTTGTTTTTTGTTTTTCCTGCTTTCACAACGTGTCAACGATATTTTTTTTTTGTGAACGGGATGTAGTACCCGTATTTCATTAATACGAAAGGAATCATTTTACAGCATGTTGTTAGTCCTGCTACCTAAAACCGGTTCGCGAGAAGCAGACGACTAGTGACACTAACAACCGAACACAAAGCTGGTAATACACGAAGACGAAATCGTTGCATTTGATCATTTTCCTGTGAGTATTGTGTCCACTTAAAATATTAATATCTCATCGTGTTTTCGTCAGGAAATAAACTCATTCCCCCATATATAAGTCTTTTAGTTTTTCCTGTGGGTTTTAAACAGTACCCAAAGGTTAATCTCTAACTTTTCTATTCGCTAAAAAAACTAAAAACTTTATATGTACCTGTAAATGGAAACCTAAAACCAGTTATTTGAGGTAGTAACCGATGATATTTTTTCTGTTTGCAATCTAATCGAGTCGCACTATCATCACTGAGATGAGGCACTTATCGATCGTTCCTCATTGGAGCAGATGTAACACTAACGCTATGCGAGTCACTAATAAGCCATGCGCAGTAAGCCTTCGTCATGTCTATGCGTGCAAATGCAAGGACACATGAACTGCGGCACCAAGCTATGTCGTCTATCGGTGCTGCATCAAAACCAATTGCACTTGCACCATCTCTAGTGCTGCCATGAATTCTCGGCCACGCGAGCACCGGTATACCGCACTGATTCCGATCACTTTACCTCCGATATTTCTTCGTCCACTCCAGTCCAGAGATGCGAAGATGCGCATGGCGAGCGACCGCCAGACCGCTATATAAACCCGTCCATGGCTGCCTCGCGTTACCAACAAGCTCTTGCTCTCCTGTGCGCCTGCCTGCTCCTGGCCGGCGCGGCGTCCGGCGGCCGCGTGGACGTGGAAGACATGCTGATGATGGACCGGTTCCGCGCGTGGCAGGCCACGTACAACCGCTCGTACGTGACCGCCGTGGAGCGTCTGCGCCGGTTCGAGGTGTACCGCCAGAACATGGAGCTAATCGAGGCCACGAACCGGCGCGGCCTCTCGTACCAGCTCGGCGAGACCCCGTTCACGGACCTCACCAGCGAGGAGTTCCTCGCCACGCACACCATGCCGCGCCTGCGGGCACCCGAGGCCGCCGCCGCGCGGCACCGGGAGCTCATCACAACGCGCGCTGGCCCCGTCAGCGACGGCGGTCGTCGCCACTGGAACTGGAACTCCACGACGGACGTCGACGTCCCCGAAAGCGTGGACTGGAGGACCAAGGGCGCGGTGACGCCGGTCAAGGACCAAGGACATTGTGGTAAACAATACTCGTAGAAAAATATTTACCAATCACCGTATCACACGCATATTCCTACAACGTATACGGGACAAAAAAAAATACACACACACTGTCATGATAGATGATCGACGACGATGCCCCTCTCCTTGCAGGCAGTTGTTGGGCATTCGCGACGGTGGCGTCGATCGAAGGCCTGCACAAGATACGGACGGGCCAGCTCGTCTCCCTATCGGAGCAGGAGCTCCTGGACTGCTCGAGGTCCCCGCCCAACAATGGCTGCGACGG